TGGGGCCCTAATGGAACAGTTACCTTGTTAAGGCTGAGTCTCCAAGGGGGGAAGTCAGCTTTTAAGAAAAGCTGCAAGGGCTGGCTCTTGGGCTGGGGGAAAATGAGCCATTCAGAGAAGAGGGTGCAGCTTGGGGGTTGATTTAGAGACTGAAATACACATACAGAGAGAAAGAAAACTTGACAAGCGTCCAAGAAAAGTAGGGGAAATCAGTCAAACAGGTGTATGTTTCTCAATCGCTTTTACTCTGGCCCTCTTCTGATAAACATAAAAAACTCACACTATTTTTTTTTTTTTTAGCTTATTTATTTATTTAGAGAGAGGGAGCACAGAGCCAGATGCAGGGCTCAAACTCACAAACCGTGAAATCATGACCTGAGCCGAAATCAAGAGACGCTTAACCGACTGAGCCACCCAAGGGCCACCCATACTACCTTTTAATATTATTTAGAATTTGAAAGGATGGGAATGCAACCTGGTGCAGCCTCTCTGGAAAACAGTATGGAGGTTCCTCAAAAAACTAAAAATAAAACTACCCTATGACCTAGCAACTGCACTACTAGGCATTTATCGACGGGATACAGGTGTGCTGTTTCGAAGGGACACATGCACCCCCGTGTTTATAGCAGCACTATCCACAACAGCCAAAGGATGGAAAGAGCCCAAATGTGCATCGATGGCTGAATGGATAAGGAAGAGGTGGTATATCTATACAATGGAGTATTACTCAGCAATCAAAAAGAATGAAATCTTGCCACTTGCAACTATGTGGATGGAACTGGAAAGTATTATGCTAAGTGAAATTAGTCAGTCAAAGAAAGACAAAAATCATATGACTTCACTCACATGAGGTCTTTAAGAGACAAAACAGATGAACATAAGGGAAAGAAAACAAAAATAATATAAAAACAGGGAAGGGAACAAAACAGAAGAGACTCATAAACATGGAGAACAAAGAGAGGGTTACTGGAGGGGTTTTGGGAGAGGGGATGGGCTAAATGGGTAAGGGGAACTAAGGAATCTACTCCTGAAATTATTGTTGCACTATATGCTAACTAATTTGGATGTAAATTTTAAAAATTTTTTAAAATAAAAAGAATATGAAAGGAAACTATATATCCTAATCAACACCAACACAATGGTTTCAGAATCTGATTTTCCAAATGACAAAAACAATTCCCTTCCCATACATCTGAGAATCACCCGGTTAGATGATAGCACCTGTCAACAAGGACAGAGCAACTGCCATTGAATTCTTGAGGAAGAGAGGATTTGGACCCTGGATCCACATGGGACCCCAAAACCAGTAGGATTAAAAAAAAAAAAAAAAGTCACAGCCTAAGGTGACACAGACAACGGCACTAGCAAGAATATGTAATTATTACCTGATTAAAATTTTTGAAGGAGAACTCTTTGTAGATGGCATCTCTCTCATTTAATTCTGACCATCCTGCTGCTTTAAGGTCATGTATAACTTGGTTCCTCTCCTCTGCAGTCAAACAGTGAACATCTGCAGCCTATGAAAAGAACACATTTAATATCTGAAATGTAGAAGTTCAGTTTAACTACAATAAACTCAAAGCTCTTTACCTTATGGAGAGATATAGGAAAGCAAATCTTAAGGGCAACAATTTGTAACCACGTTTGGCTCCTCTGTTCTAAAAAATAGACAAAAACAAGGCTAACTATATAGAAAATCAGCTGTCTCCATAGAATGTTGTCTCACCACACCTTTTTGTTGCCTCAAACTTCACAATTGTGTCTCTGGTTTATTACAGATACAACCATTAACCATTAACCACTGGTCATCTTACCAATGACCATTACGGATGGCCAGCATTCGAGGATGTGGGAAACTCGGTAAGCACAGCCATGCAAGAAAACCCTGCAAGTCCATTGTCAGGTCCAGAATTAGAACTCAGGGCTCTAAACTCCAGGTCTACTGCTCTTTGGATGGTCCCATGGCACATTAGCAGCAGCCTTCACTGCTTACTCACATGGATCTTAGCTCTCTGGGTTCACTATCCCCTTTCAGATCTGATGAAAAACTAACCTCCAGAGGGGAAAAAAATAAATGCACACTTAACACAGGATTTTGGATAATAACTTCTGGGAGTCCATAGATCCTCTGGATTATAGGTAAAAAGCCCTAGCCTAAGCAGAGTGAGTTTTTTCAGGGCACCAATAAAACAAATCCCTCCAGTCTGGCCAGAGCAGTGTCCAGTTTGGTCCTACTCACCCTGGTGATGAAATTCACAGACCCAGAGTTCTGTTGGTTAACAGGCCCACACTTCCCATGCTATCTGTTTTTTCATTGAAAGAACTCTAAACATCATGGCCAGAGAAAGAAGAGAAGGACACTCTAGTGGCAAGTCAGAGGAGCTTACTTCTCATTCCACCATAAATGCCGACCAATACCTCCTACCTTACCTATCTGCAGGGCTACTGATGGCTCAGGTGAGAGAGGCAATGTCACCCAGAAAGACAAAACTAATACAAGGACTCCTCATCAAATGGCAACTGGGGGCTGAGTTGAGCCCACTTTCAGAAATCCTGAAATCTTTTATCACTGACATTGATGTGATTAAGATGGCAAAGTAAACAAACTTACTTTAAGGTAACTTATTCTAGGGGCGCCTGATGGCTCAGTCGGTTAATCACCTGACTTTGGCTCAGGTCACGATCTCACAGATCATGAGTTCAAGCTTTGTGTCAGGCTCTGTGCTGACAGCTCAGAGACGGGAGCCTGCTTCAGATTCTGTCTCCCTCTCTTTCTACCCCTCCCCAACTCATACTTCATCTCTCTCTCTCTCTCTCAAATAAATAAACATTTAAAAAAATGTTTTTAAAGGTAACTTATTCGGGGCGCCTGGGTGGCGCAGTCGGTTAAGCGTCCGACTTCAGCCAGGTCACGATCTCGCGGTCCGTGAGTTCGAGCCCCGCGTCGGGCTCTGGGCTGATGGCTCAGAGCCTGGAGCCTGTTTCCGATTCTGTGTCTCCCTCTCTCTGCCCCTCCCCCGTTCATGCTCTGTCTCTCTCTGTTCCAAAAATAAATAAACGTTGAAAATAAAAATTTAAAAAAAAAAAAAAAAAAAAAAAAAATAAAGGTAACTTATTCTAAGAAGAGAAAAAACGGTTGCTAATGAGCTAATTTTCTTGTTTCTCTTCCTTGCTAGGTCAGCTATCCTTCCCCCAACTAACAAAAGAGAAAAAAAATTTTAAGCTCTTAATTAAATACAAACATTTAAAGACTTATTATGAAATCCATTTACTATTAAGAACCAAAACATCTATTTATTAGTTTTACAGTGACCCACTATCGGAGATCATGTAAAAGTCTTATTAGTCACCTAAATATGTTGTCAAGTCAGATCATAATGGAAAAAAATTAAATTTTCTGTGTCCACACTGAGTAGCTGCAAAGAAAATTATTAACCATGCTGGAGGTAATGCAGCAGTCACCTGAAGACAGTGGAACATGCTGAGCTGTTTTTGTCCACATTCTCTGCCATGCACATCTCCAGTGAAGTCGGTGGTTTGCACTCTGCGCTCACCACAGGTGTCTGCGCAAGAAGAGGGACATGTCCAGGACTGTGAAATGGAACCACTTCATCTATAACACAGACGGTCCCCCTAGAGACACACCTTCTATAGAACCCTTTGTGGTGGACTTAATCTTTTTTTCTGCAGGAGATGGGGAGAAGGACAGGGAAAAGCATAGGATTTGGAGAGAACACACTAGGGAGAGAACACACATAGGATTCGAGGCCTAGCTTTGTTCAGCTGGGATACTGAACAAATCACTTAGCTTTTCTGAATACTAGTATCCTCCTGTCTATGATGAGGATATTACAACATCTACGTGTCGACATTTTTTAAAGACTTAAGTGGAAGAAATCTTGATTGTGAAGGCACCCAGCATAGAACCTAGCACGCGGCAGCCACTCAAATCATGTCTGTTTATTCATTCCTCTGAACCCCACAATTTTAATCATCAGCACTTTGGGAACAGGTAAGCCTCAGCCCACACTTAGGTGTCAGCACTCAACTTGTTTTCTCACCTTAATGGTCAGGAAACAGAGTGCTTATCTTCCTCTATCATCGAGCTATTTTAAATTTCTCTGGTTAAACACCTTCAAACTGCCAAAGGGTTCTAACAAGCAAGCGAAGATGAAACGGCAAATTTAATGCAACATTCTCCCACTAGGTGGTGCTGCGTGTTAAAACTTGCCATCAAGTTAATTTACCCTAATACATTAATTTCTAACTCAAAAAAACTGACGGAACGCCGCGCGGAAGACGAAAGAGCAATAGACTTGTCACGACAAAAAAAAAAAAAGATAATTTATTAATAATTCCTCCAAAAACATCACACCCAAACAAATGAGTTAACTCAGCGGGTTTCCGGCGAGCGCGCCCTGCCGGAGCCAGTTCCTGCTCTCAGCGAGCGCACAATCTAGCGGCACAGCGTCTTTCGTCATTTCAAGTGACTCTAAGCATCACATAGTTTTACAACTACTTTGCGTACTTTAACAAAACTCGTCCTCGGTTTGTTTTTTTTGTTGTTGTTGTTGTTGTTGTTTTGTTTGTTTTGTTTTTGTTTTCCGGACAGCAGTTTTCGTAGCCAACGACGGGATCTGTAAGCCAGGAGGAGACGATGGTGCCCCGCACCCGAACGCCTCCCTATCAAGGTCCGAGGCCTTGGGAGGTGGCCCGGGCCCGTCCCTCCGCCTCCCGCACCGCGGGCCCCGGCACTCACCTTGGCCGAGAAGCCTACCGCCCGGCCCCGCAGCATCGCGAACAGGAGTCGCAGCGGCCCCCGCGCCCACCGCGCCGCCGCCATAGCCACAGGTCGAGGGCTGCCCGGCGCGCTGCCTGCGCGCCGTCCGCAGGCGTCCGCGGGGCCCGGCTGGGAGCCGAGGACAGTGCGGAGGGCCCTCAGCCGCCGGTCAGGCCGTCCCGCGGGGCCCCGCGCGGCCAGCCCCGGAAGGCCCCCGGGAGCTCCGAGGCCGCAGATGGCGCTGGCAGCCGACCGGCCGGTGCGGCAGGCCCCCGCAGGCCCTCGCGCTCTCAGGTCCCGCTCCGCGCCCGTCGCTTGGTGCTTGCACGGGATTCGTTTCGCTCCCGTGCGGCAGAGTGGGCCGGCTAGCTTGCGCGCCGCGTTGCATTGGGCGCTCAGGTGTGACCTCTGGATCGGCTCTTCGGCGTCCGCCCCGCTGGCCGCACACTCACGGACAGCCTGTGCTGAGCTCCCTCCTGGGCGGTGAGGCGAAGAGCCAGCGCCGGCGGCAGGACGTCGCGGGCGGGGACAGGAGGCGATGAGCTGCGGGTGGGTGCTCGGGCAACGCTCCACTTGCTGCTCGCGGAGGGCCAGGAACCATCGTGGTTCCGAACGGGGCTTGTAAGGTAGGGAGCCGAGGCTGCGAACGTAAACCCTGCTGTGTCTTTTTCCCTAGCTGCTGAGGCCTTGGCACGCTGGCTCCTCTCTGCTGGCCCAGATACGACAATCTGGAAACCTGGCTCTTAGTGCTCTCTAAAAAATAGCTCATAGTAGGCACTCCAGGTATATAGTAGATAGATTTACTAATTATTATTTGGGGGGGGGGGTATTCTTTTACATAGGTATTTGCTAATATTTTCTTATTCCTTTTTCATGGCCTTTTTAAGTTTGTTTATTTTGAGACAGCACACGGGGGCGGGGCAGAGAGAGGGAGAGACAGCGAATCCCAAGCAGGGTCCGCACTGGCGGAGCCCGATGCGGGGCTCAAATTCACAAACTGAGATGATGACCTGAGCTTAAATCAAGAAAGAGTCAGACGCTTACCCAACTGAGCCACCCAGTCGCCCCAGTTGCCTTTTTTTTTTTTTAATGTAATAGCACGTATCATAAAATTCACCTTTTAAAAGCGTACAATTCACTGGTTTTTAGTATATTCACTTGTACCTTTTTTTACCAGTTTAAGCAAATTAATCAGTTTTGCATAGGATTTAGCAATATATGAGAGTCCAATCAGTTCAACTTAGCAGTCGCTAGCAGTTATAGTTCCCAATATGGAGTTGTGGGGAAAAGACTTTTTGCCTTAAAATATGCTAAAATTAAGACTTCTTCCACAACCCACCTTTTTAGCTTTTGCCCACTTGACAGAAACTCAAGGAAGGAATCTCCAGACCCTGATCAAATACCACTGGTCTCAAGACATTGATCTAAGACACCCAGGATTCCTTTGCCTGATGTCTCAGGTGGGCAGAGACTGGGGATGGAATTGAAAATTGCATATTATTTCCAGTACCTAATTGGGGGAAAACAAGTTTGTATTCTACAAATTTGCTTATTAAAGTGAGAACTGCAAAATGAAACTGGTAGGTGTGAGGTAACAAGAGAGTCCTCATCATTTTCCTTCCCTAAATCCACTGTAGGAAACTGTGGCATCTCAGGTCTAGTTATGAAAAGCAGCAGTAGTAATGCCAGTAGGACCCAGAGGAAGTGATGTCTACCAGTAGTGGCTGTGAATACTCTGCCTTCTTGTGTAGGTTTCCAATTAGTAGGATTTAAGTTCTTTAGCAAAAATTGAGCACTTCCTGTATAGTGGACACTCTTGGGAAAGGCAGTCTCCTCCTCACAGTCCTTTAAGCCCTACTCAACTAAATAATAATGGGCCTTGGGCCTAGAATACTTGCTTACCAATAGTCCTAAAGAGCCTATGTAGCCTGGTCTGGGCTTATCACCTTATGTGGGAATATCCTTCCCTGTGCCAGACTCGGTATGTAATCCTTTGTTCAGATTAAGCACTAAGTCAAATATCCCTGGGGCATGCTCCCCCACCCCGTTTCAGTATTTCACACTCCATGGGTAGGGGTGACTTGTGCTTAGGCACTAGAGTGGCACTCAGGCCTTTGGCTGCTGTGGAGGACCAAGGCACACTACTGGAGCTGATCTTGGCTGTGTCTCTTCTGTGAGTAAAAATGCTGTTCATCCAGTGCTTGTGTTGTGTTTTCCTTGGCAACCGATACTACATAGTAGGCAGAAGTGTTTGGACTTCTGTCCCTGGTGACTAGCATGATCTTTGCTGTCTTCCATGTAGTTGAATCACGGCCCTCCCCATCCCTGGCATGAGTACCAGTGCACTGTGTTCTGCTAGACAGATACTATGTTTGGCTAGGGTGGTTTAGTAACTCTTGGACCTTCCTTCCTGCCTTCTGCTTCCCTTTCCTTCAGTACCATTGCCTCCCAACTGATCTCTCTACGCTTGAACCTCCTGTCTAGGGAACAGCCCTGCTCCAATTTCCCTTCAAGGCAAACCCAGAAAGATTGTCTCAGCTAAGTACTAGAAGCAAAGCCATGGATCCTTTAGTCATCCTAAGTGTCATCCTAAGAGCCTTTCCTCAAACTCCAGACTAGAGTAGGGCCCCCTTACATTTCAAAGGTATGAAAATACCTGTATCTTTGATAATCTCCAGTCTGGCAGTGTGCCCCTAAGGAATTGAGACAATACACAGCCATTAAAAAAAAAAAAAGTTAAGTAATGCTGAATCTACTCAAAGACCTATTAAGTAATCATGGTTAGGAAAACTACTTGCAACAGTGAAATATTTATTTGTTAAGCAAAACAAAATAAGACCAAAGTGCTAAGTGATGGCTATACTGTAACTATAACTATGGGAAGCAAAGGGGAAAAATGAGAGGGAAATGTATTATGATGGTCCCTCAGGCCACGGCATAGAGGCAGGGCAAGGTCCCAGCCCACCAGAGGCTCCTCCAGTCAGCATGCTTAGGTTTGAAGCTGGGTCCCACCACTGGAAGCTGCCTGACCAAGAGAAGTTACTTGAGGCCTCATTTATTACCCTTATGTAAAATAAGGAAATGTAATACTAGTGTCAGTCTCCTAGAGCTCCTATACCAGTAAACAAAACAGAGTATGTAAAGCACTTAAAATAGTACCTGGAACACACATAGTAATACTCGAGTGTTAGTTGTTAAAAAAGATGGAATCACTAGAAGTTCTTCTTAAATTCTTTTTTTTTTTTTTTAATTTTTTTTTTCAACGTTTATTTATTTTTGGGACAGAGAGAGACAGAGCATGAACGGGGGAGGGGCAGAGAGAGAGGGAGACACAGAATCAGAAACAGGCTCCAGGCTCCGAGCCATCAGCCCAGAGCCCGACGCGGGGCTCGAACTCACGGACCGCGAGATCGTGACCTGGCTGAAGTCGGACGCTTAACCGACTGCGCCACCCAGGCGCCCCTCTTCTTAAATTCTTAAGTATACATACACATACATGTAAAGGTTCAAATCTCAGCTTCAACAACTTACTATGTGTGTAACCTGGGCAAGTTACTCAATCTCTTTCTATGCCTCAGTGTGTTTATTTGTAAAATGAAAATCATAATGGTACTGTTCTGAACCAGTATCCTCTCCTGTGAGTGACCACTCCAGCCACAGCTGTCCACAATATAAAGTTATACATAAACTCCTGTCCAGTGTAACATTCTGAAAGGTGACTCACCTACGGTTCCATTTCCATAGAATGTAGGGTGCGTTAGAAAATGAAATACTCTATAACACTGTAAACAGTATAAAAGTTAATTATCATTTTGTAGTTAGATGTCATGTCTGAATTTAAGGGATCTTTTAGAAGGAGCTTTCCAAAACATTGGAATAAATTGTGTGTTCTCTCTTTTCTACATGTGATCTACACTAGAATAGAATCAACTTGTGGGCAAGAACAGTGTTAGATATTTCTTATGGCTCTCACTAAAACTAGCACATTGCTAAGAACATATTAAGGTTCAGTTAATGCATGCCGGTTAGGGAATTGTGACTAAAATTTGAGTCATGCTTTAGCCTAGAACTGACAATAAATAAGCTTTAGTTAGGTAACAACATTTACTTTCTCCTAACATCTGCCTTATCCAGAAACAGCTTAAAGCACTTCATATTCTTTCGGTGAAATGAGAGATCACAAACACCAAAGCAGTTGACTCTTCCATTTTCCCAACAGTTACTTAGAAGGTCACACTTACCGATTCTACTTATTCTTCCTAACAGAACACTTTCCTGATTACAGACTGAGAGCAAAATTGCAAATGAAAAGAAAAACAACCTTCTTAGACATTTATTTAAGGAATCAAGAGTTTTCTAAAACTGTAACGTGTACTGTCATTCTACTCACCATACCACCTGAACACAGCTTTGCATTTCAAACTGGATTACTCTCTTAAAATATTGGATTATTAAAAACAACAACAGTGAACTCTACCGAGTATTTTTGCATTTGCTTATTGCAGTATTAATTAAAACAATTTATAATTTTTAACACATTTAACAGTTCAACAAATGCATGATTCTTTTAATCTGCCTGAAGTTGTAAGAGGACACTTCACTGGAGAAAATGTATGAAAGTGCAGCATTAATTTCTGAAATTCCTCATCTGACTTCTGCTTTTAGTCCATCACTACTCCGCATGCTCCTGCTCTTGTCCTGGAATGAGCCACCGGATGCTCTCAGTTCGAATGGTAGCATACATAATAAAACTAATTAAAAAGAATAAGGAAAATACAAGCAGCCAGTCCACACTTTTTATCAAAGTGCTGGGAAGAGGGCCTATTTGGTCAGCTTGAGTTACCACCACATTTTTCTTGGCTTCTATACCTGAAAGAGAAATCAGCTGTTTCAAATCGGATAGAAAGCACACCGCTATAGATCTTTCTGAAGTATTTTGCATGGCATGCAAAAAGATATGCAGTCTTAAAATAAACACTACCACTAGTATATCTGGGATGGGTTTCATTTGCCTGTTGGTATAATTTGTACCTTGCCTTTCTCCCACCACATCAAAGAAACAGGAACCCATTCAGCAGTTCAAAGCCTAAACACTCGAATGACCATGAACTCCTCAGAAGGGTCTTAGTGCATTGTAAGAGTTGTATTTTCTTTTTTTTTTTATTTTTTTTTTTTCAACGTTTATTTATTTTTGGGACAGAGAGAGACAGAGCATGAACGGGGGAGGGGCAGAGAGAGAGGGAGACACAGAATCGGAAACAGGCTCTAGGCTCCGAGCCATCAGCCCAGAGCCTGACGCGGGGCTTGAACTCACGGACCGCGAGATCGTGACCTGGCTGAAGTCGGACGCTTTACCGACTGCGCCACCCAGGCGCCCCTGTATTTTCTTTTTTGAGACCAAAATTCAACAAGTAACTGGTAAAGCTACTCTCAGGGACCTACAGAATGTTTTCACAGGTTCAGGAATGCTAAATCCAAAAAGTTTTTTTGTTTTTTTTTTTTTTTTTAATTTTTGAAAGAGACAGAGCACAAGTGGGGGAGGGGCAGAGAGGAGACACAGAATCTGAAGCAGGCTCCAGGCTCTGAGCAGTCAGCACAGAGCCCAATGCGGGGCTCGAGCCCACAAGCCGTGAGATCATGACCTGACCCAAAGTCGGATGCTTAATTGACTGAGCCACCCAGGGGCCCCAAATTCAAAAAGCTTTTAAATAATTTACTGAAAAAATTGTTAGAACTACCCACCACTGAGATCAGTGATTACCAAAGATGCTGTGACCTCTCAATTTCACTTGTGTTCTAGGTTTTCTTAGAGCATTGAGCAAAATGGCTCCCTCTCTCCCTATCAATCTGATTGATAATCAGGGCTCTGGTACTGTAAGACCTGAATAGCTAACTATCTGATAACAAGCCTCTTACTCCTATGAGGTAACTGAGCTCTTGGTTCTTTAGTATAGATATAATTAGATGCAACTTAATATATATGGAAGGCATGATATAACTTATTTTTATTTCCAATGAATTTACTTCAGGAAGAAGTGGGATGCTCCTAATTAAGGCATTAAAGCTTCTAAGGAGCAAATGTTTCCAAAGAAGAAAATTTCTTATTATACAGTGTTCAGACTTATACAGAATAAAAAATAAGGTCATATGTTTTGGCAAATATTAAGGAATTAAAATAGCATCTGCAAATAGATGAATAAATGGAACACCACATGGCAACACAAAGGAAGAAAATACAACCACCTGCAGTGCAGTGACGCCGATGAATCCCACAAACATAATGGTGACTGAAATAAACCAGACACAAAAGAATCCATACTGGACACCTGGGTGGCTAAGTTGGCTAAGCGTCCAACTTCAGCTCAGGTCACGATCTCACGGTTCATGAGTTCAAGCCCTACATCAGGCTCTGCACTGACTGTGCACAGAGCCTGATTCAGATCCTCGGTCTCCCTCTCTCTCTGCCCCTCCCCCATTCATGCTCACTCATTCACTCTCAAAAATAAACATTAAAAACAAAAAATCCATACTGTATGTCTCCATTAATATAAAGTTCAGAAACAGTAACACTAGTCCACGGCGTCAGGAGTCACGATGGCGGTTATCCTTGTGGGCAGGAGCAGCAGTGCTGGGGAGGGGCGGGCGCTGGTAATGTCCTCTGTAAATCTGAGTCCCAGTTACCCAAGGTATTCATTTTGTGAAAACTCATCACTCACAACACCAATGATTGATGCACATTTTTGTGTAAATATTATACTGAAGTGAAAAATGTATGTAAAAAGTTGTCTACAGTTGTATGGTATGTGAATTCTAAATCAATAAAGCTGTTTTTTAAAAGGTATCAGTACTCATTAAAATTACCTATTCATGTTAAGCTTGCCACAATGATTTTTTTTTTTAATTTTTTTTTAATGTTTATTTATTTTTGAGAGAGAGACGGAGTGCAAGGAGGGGAGGAACACAGAGCAGGAGACACAGAATCAGAAGCAGGCTACAGTCTCTGAGCTGTCAGCACAGAGCCCGATGCAGGGCTCAAAACCACGGATCGCGAGATGATGACCTGAGCTGAAGTCAGACGCTTAACTGACTGAGCTACCCAGGTGCCTCAAGACTTTTTTTTTTTAATTTATTTATTCTGAGAGAGAATGTAAGAGCGGAGATGGGGGGGAGGGGCAGTGGTGAAGGAAGGGGAGGGCAGAGAGAGAATCCCAAGCAGGCTCTGTACTGTTGCCGAGGGACTTGATCCCATGAACTGTGAGATCATGACCTGAACCAAAACCAAGAGTCAGATGCTTAATCAACTGAGCCACCTGGATGCCCCTGATTGAGAGACTGTTAGCAGAACCACAACAGTTCATTAGAAAAGAAGGTTTAAAATAAAATCCCTTCTACAGCATATTATTTCTACATACCTGTCTGGTTAAAAATGAAGATTTTCAGTGTTTCCAATGTTCGGTCTGTATGATTAAATCTAGCCATTGGTTTAGCTCCTTGAAATAACAAGATGTTAGGAACAGCTACGGTGCCAAACCTGGTAGAAAGGCTATGAGAGAAAGAAGTCAGTCAGAAAACCTGAATTAACAGCAGATTTTCTCACACAATTACCTTATCAGAACGGAGAGCAATGAATGAAAATGGATCAGCTTCCTGTGACCTATAAAGGTTTCTGATATTCAAACTATATGCTTCAGCTATTTTTGACCTTTTTCCTTATGGGTTGAGGTTGGGGGCATTTCTGTTCTGCTGAGTTGCTTTCTATTACAATAAGGAACTACCCTCAACACAGTTATTCCACTTTTTTTTTAAGTTTATTGATTTATTTTGAGAGAGAGAATGAGAGAGTGAGAGAGCAAAGGAGGGGCAGAGGGAGTGGGAGAGACAAAATCCCAAGCAGGCTCCACAGTGTCAGCACAGAGCCAGATGCAGGGCTTGGTCCCACGAACCATGAGATCCTGACCTGAGGTGAAATCAAGAGTCAGACACTCAACCGACTGAACCACCCAGCTGCCCCTCCAGTATTTTTTTTTCTAGTAAACTCTACATCCAACATTGGGCTCCAACTCACAACCCCAAGATCAAGGGTCACATGCTCACATGCTCTTACTAGGAGCCAACCAGATGCTCCTAGTTATTCCACTATTTAAATTGCTAACTGCCAAAAGAGATCAGACTAGAAAATCCTAATTCATGGACAAAGCACACTGTGTCAATTTACTTAACGGAAGAAATTTCAAACTCTCCAGAATGCCCAGCTCTATCCCTCATACAAGAGTCAACTTATAGTAAGCAATTAGTTTGGTAAGTCTGCACAAGGGAATCTATGATCTAGCAGACACACCAGGAAGTTCCCAATTGGGGCAGGATGTAATATGATCTGAGTGGTACCATTTCACCTTTACATAATACAGAGTAGTGGTATACGCTCTGGAGTCAAAACGCTCAGGTTGAAGCCTCCGTTCCGCCACTGAACCAGCTGTGTGAACTTTGGGCAGACTGTGTAACCTCGAAGCCTCAGTTTCCCCTGTTTGTAAAATGACAGTATTGGGTAATCAGGATTTCTTCTTTTGTAAACCTGTTGTAACTTAAATATTAACATATGAGGCAGACACACGTCCCAGGCCATATAACAAGTATGCCCTACTCTCCATGATTAAGGCGCTGTTGCAGGCGCTGAGAAGGATGCAAGAAGACGAAGGAACAAAGCAGATGATAAAAGCTGGCAGGGAATGGGGAGTAGGCGGGTGAGACCGAAACCCGGAGCACTAAACTGCTGATGGGAGCCAGCCCTGCCACCTTGTGGGCAGGGGAAGGCCCAAAGTCTGACACTAACCTAGACTGTCCTTCCCATCAGTCTGTCCCCTTGGGCCAGGCCATGTTCATATTTCCCTGAAGCCCTTGTGAGATCACTAACTCACTGAAATTTCTTTCTTCCTAAACAATTTGTGCAAAACATTGGCAGTTACATTACCCTCACTGAAGCTCAGTGGAGCACAAATTTTTACTCAAAATTTTCATTCAAGGGGCGCGTGGGTGGCTCACTCGGTTAGGCATCTGACTTCAGCTCAGGTCATGATCTCACCGTTCCTGAGTTTAAGCCCTGTGTCGGGCTCTGTGCTAACAGCTCGGAGCCTGGAGCCTGCTTAAGATTCTGTCTCCCTCTCTCTCTGTCCCGCACCTGCTCGCACTCTGTCTGTCTCTCTCTCTCTCTCTCTCTCTCTCTCTCTCTCTCTCAAAAATAAACATTAAAAAAAAAATTTTTTTTTTTAATTTTTACTCAAAAAAGTTTTACTCAACTTCATTTTTACCATCTTGACCATGTTCCAGACTTTCCAAACTGACTCACACACAATCTCCTGTGATCTGCTAAAGGGCATATGATTTCGAGGAGGTGGGGCACACTTGACAATCCATGCACACTCACAGCACTTGGGGGAAACACATAACATCGTAACAAAGTAGTTCTTTATAACTTACCTCACTGAACATCTAAAAAAGACAAAGCCCACGGAACAATATATAACAAAAGTAAATTTCATTTTAAAGGGCTAAATTAATTCTTTATATTAATTTATTGACTGTCCACTAAGAAACATGCATGCACGAATAAGTGTAAACAAGAGGAAAGAACAAATATCATATGACTTCACTCATATGAGGACTTTAAGACACAGAACAGATGAACACAAGGGAAGGAAAGCAAAAATAATATAAAAACAGGGAGGGGGACAATAAGAGACTCTTAAATA